ACTTATATAGACCAGCATACCTGGGTTATAGGGTGACATTGCATCACCCAGTGGTTGGACAACAATGTTGACCAGTGCTGTTACTGAGCTCTTGCTAAGCCTTGTAAGACTCATTGCATCATTGACCAATGGTCATAGAGTGAATCTTGTGTGGTCCCGGTTTAACACACCCCACACTTGACCATTATGTATTTTTAGGCTGAAACCACTCATGTTATCTGTAAGGCTTCTACTTGATCTCAATGTGGTGGCCGACTTATCATGTAAAGATGCTTCAAGGGCTTCTTTCATGAGGTATATTTAGAATGGTGTTACACCATGTGAATTATCTGAGCACCTTGACCAGAAAGTGGACGCTAAGACAAACGAGTGTCAGAGGGTCAAGCGGAATACGAAAGATAACATGGAGTGTGTGCATGATACTGATGTGAATGTGTACATTGTACAACATGATCTTACAGTATAGTCAGTATACACGTCCATGTTGGGGGCGTTGACAGCTCTAGACATTTGGGAGACAATCAGGGTCAAGGCCTCAGTAAAGGTTTCAAAAAATTTTATGGTGGACATTGGGAGGACATTTCCAAATTTGACGGATCTGTGACAGAAATGATGTCTGATGCAATTCCCAATTGCATACTTATTGTGACTTTATTTCCCAAACCACCATAGCTGTATTTTTGAAGGAGGTAGAGTACTGATATAATCAACAAGCATGTTCCAGAACAGAATTACATGAGCTTGTTTTAGTCACAGAAAATAAGGGGAGTCAGTTGAAGGCTTCATGCTGCTCTCCATGACATGTGCTATATATTTCAGATCGTGCCATGGAAATAGTTTGTTTATTGATCAAAAGATTGTAACGATGTAGATTACAACTTTTACATAATATGTCAGAAAATCCTATTAGAGTGTTGTCATGGATATGATATAGATTCAGGGGTTTCAAAATGATGACAACTTTTCGCCAGATAAGAAGTTCGAGTTAGGAATGTAGATGAATATGTGTGTCCAGTTACAAGATATGTCAAGTTAAGGCTGTTAATCCAGCGCCAGTATGGGACAGATAACGTTCCTGTATTTGTGAGAGCCACGAAGCATGCCAAGTGACGCCAAATCAAGTAACGTCTTACAACAGGGTCTGTTGACCAAACATAGGCTTCAAAAGATTAATTGAAGGGCTGAGATAAATCACATGAAATGCATTGGACCGAAATAATATGTGAAAATATGAGTTTGTCATGAAATCATGCAGAAAATGGGGTCGAGAAATGTAAAGCCACATTCAAATATGGATTCATGTGATTTTGAGATATTATGCATGATTGGTTACATATAAAAATGCTAATACAAAAAGATCTGGGAGTATTCACCGCAATATTGAGCAAGTTGGATGGGTACAAAATTCTTTTGAGGCGAAAAGACAAATACATTGAGGCTATCGGGGTGGAATGTTTTCAAGGCGAAAAGATCATCTTTCTTCTGTAATCCAGTCCACAGACTTCGTGAATGATGCTAATTGTAGCATATAAGTGGTTAATCCTCGTACATACTGGCCATTGTGGGTTAATGAGGAGATTATAATGGTGGTGGTAAGGTATATGATTGGCTAATTGTCCGTTGTGCCGTGGTCTGGTAACTTTGTAAGGTAGTGAGGAGATATAAGGTTGCAATTGAAGTTATTCTGTCTGAGCGGGAAATTACCGTGACTGTAAGCACTTGTTCAAACAGACTTACCTGACAAGGAGGACATTATGCTGTCTGCATTCTGTAATAGCTTGGGTGCAATCAGGGGTGTGCCCTAGTTGCTGCTCTGTTGGCCATGGCCTCATTGAACACATCCTCACAATGTCTTCTTCATCTTTGAGCAAAGTTGTCAAAGATGGGATTGTTTAAAAACTTCAAATTGTCGTTGGAGTGATAGGCAAGTTTTGGAATGAAAGACGTCTTTCAAAGAAAACAGGGTGTACATTTTGGGAACATAAATCTAATGAATTCTGGTTTAGAAAGTAGATCAGAATTTTAAATACATGTTAGCAAAACATCCCATGTCAAGATGAAGAATTTAATGTATTATTGCCGCTTCACAAAGATACAATTATCAAAGGCAAGTATGAATATGTATTATGAGTTACCGACACAGCAGATGTTTCAGTGTGGTTTTAACATGTTGATGACCTTGAAAGTATATAAGGGAAGGTGAAAATAATGTCATGTAAACAAGCATGTTAAATTGGCCTTGCATGTCAAGTTGTGGCAAACATGGATGATTTTAGATTCAAGACATGAACAATTCATATTATTTAAATTAGACGGCTTCTTTGTCAGAGCTAGTACGTGGTGATGCATGTTCTTTGTGCAAGAGCTGTTCTCTAGGTCAGGGAGCTTCCTCTCTCCTTATAATATGACAGAAGACAGGTTGTTTTTCTCATTACAGAAGATGTTTCTACAGTTAATTTCAAATTAGTGTTATCAATGCAATAAACCAACCGATAATCTTGTTATCACAATCTGATAAATATGCAAATGATTTAGCAGGAAGTACTTGTATACTCTATATATCAGTACAATGTCTGTTTGATCAATAAATTATTGACTGACGTTAGTAAAAGTTTTGATAGGGGTTCCCGATATGTGAGTTTGTGTTGACAAACATGGCTGCAAATCATTTGGTACTGTATGATAAATGGAACAGTTCACTTAACGGTTTCTACAGTTATTTCATTGAGTAAAAATACATCTTAAACATTGATTATTTTAAGAATGACATCATATGATGAAGAGATTACTACTCTCGTTAGTTTCTGTATCATAAATAGCATATATTAGGAATACAAAATATGCATTATGCTTACCAAAGGCTTGCATATAATTATTAGTTTATTCTGACTTGATCTTTATGAAGTCGAAACACATTCGGCTTCATGGTATAATAATATCGTGTATCTGTAGATTTTCTAATTATTTTGATTAAATATTTTCTCCTGTGTCGAGACAACATGCCTGTGACAGCCTTTATTGATAGAGGACTATTACGGATGTTAGACTATGAATGTTGAAACGATGATGGAGAGGATATGGCAATATTAATGGCGACAGACTTTTTGTTGACACTGGACTTAATTAGGGACAGCACGCAGAGAGTTCTTACATCACTGTGTTAGTAGTTTGGTTTGTTAGTGGGCTACAGTCAAACCAACACACATGGCTATTGTCCAAGTTCAGGGCCATTCCGTCCTCAACACTAGCCCTGAATCTGTATACATATAATGTCGGAAGGGTTAAACTATATTTGCATGACCACAAACTTTATGAAGATATGAAGTATACTTTATAATGAATATCAGATATGATCATGTTCAGTGTCACACTTTCCAGTACACTGGCCCTGAATCTGTATATCATGTGAGTCTGGTCAAACCATGAAGGAATGACCACAGTGTTTATGAGGACACTGAGGCATCCCAGCTAATTAATGCATATCACAGCCAAGTGCAATTACCACAGGGGCGTGAGTTAGGAGGAAATCTTTTGGCCTGGTTCATAACTGTAGTTTGTCATCAGGGATATAGTATGGCTCATTTTGTCACTTTGATGAATATCGCTGGAGTTTTCTCTGATTATTTTCCAGTATGAATTACAACCAGTTGCAACGAGGCGTTTGCTCCACAGAGCACTGTTGCCGTGTATAGTTTGAACACATTTCATTGAAACCGCGGGCTGAGTGTCTTGGAGATGTATATTCTGTGTCAAGTTGACAGTGATGTGTGTTCTGATGAGTTGATGTGGATTTCTACAGTGCCTTGTGTTGTCTGAGAACAGACAGTATGTCTACTTTGTATGCAGATGCGATTGAATAATTGTCTTGATCTTAGTCATATTTTATGTCCGATGCATTGGATTGGCTGAAATGTTTTGTTTCAAATCGGAAGATAAACCATCATGGGTAAGCAGCGGCTAAAATTGTTTTGATTTGTTGTTAGTAAACTTTTTTTATTGTACCTTGTTAATATTTCATTCTTTTTCTTGGGGCCCGGTGGCCCAGACGTCTAAGGCGCCGCCATTCACTGTGCAGAGTTGCATCCCTTGGGCATGCCAGAAACCTATAATGATTGTGGGTTCGAATCCCGGCTCAGCTTGATTATGTTTCTAGGTTTGTGGGCACCATACCTGTGCTCGTGGGTTTCACCAAATTGGGAAATGTCTAAGACCTGCATCACTTAGGCTTTCCTCCCACATTAAACTGACACGCCGTGATATAACTAGAATACTGTTCAAAGCGACTTTAAACCCAACTCACTCCCTCATTCTTTTTCTCCATTCCACTCAACTATCAAAACTTGTGTGAAATAAATATGATGTTATGAGCTGGATTGCTGGATGGCCTATGCTTCTAGTCTGTGCAACTTTAGCATCTCCTGCCTACTCATTGCGTGGTGTCAGCACTGATACATTCATATACCAGTAACTTTCATCCCTATTCTGCCTTTTATGACCAATGGAATCTGTTTCAGAATATAACAGAGACTGATTATTCTCTAGCATTGACATTTTATATTTAGCCATAGTCCAAGGAGTCCAGTAAGAATCGGTCCAGTAAGCTGAGCTAACACGTGTCTGTACAGAAACATGAGAATCTACTGATAGTGATGCTGAAGTCAAGTTCGGACCAGTTCAAATATACTAGTCAAAAGAAGTTAAAGATCACCCAATTCTTTCATATCACTATAGTTTACAAAGCTAATATGAAAGAATTGTGCATTCTTTAGGCTCTTTTGAGTAGAATATATTGGTGTACATGCATGTAGCATGACAAGTCTTTTTCTTTTTCTCCGTCAAAGATTATGGCACAAACAGAAATACAGTTGTCAGACTGCCAGTATTAGAGTAAACTTGTACCTGTTTACACGTCAATGACTTTAACTCAGAGAGAACTCATCACTCACCATCTGCTGTAAAGAAATAAGCATTTTGATAATTAGAGTTTTTGTATTTTTCAGAAACTGAATGCTGGACTCAGCGAGCGGCGACAAGCAGGTATGTTTATGTTTTGATCACTACGCATTTAATGGATTTACTTCCACATTATATACTTCTCAAAAGAACTTAAAGAACTCCCATTTTTTTCCATATGACTATAGATAACTAGAGGTCATATGAAAAAAATCTTTTGAGTTGTATAAAATCCATGGTTCTACTTCCATAGCAGGCAAATTTGATGCTGGTAGATAATCAATACATGTTAAAAGATATATTTTCTTGAAATGGTCTTTTCAAACATTTACCATCTTTTTCAAATGCATTGGTACAGATTGCATCAATTAATTGTGGTTCATGGAATTAGAACCAATTTTATTTCAAAGAATTTTGTTGTTGATAAACTTGTAGAATATATTGGTCAGCAGATTGCTGCTTGAACAGTATTAAGCAAAAGAAAATGACACTGAAAAGATCAAAAAATATTTATTGGATCAGAACAGATATTTCACACACTTTAAGAAAATATTCATTTATTTTAGAAAATGCAAACTTGACATGAAAAAACAAACATTTTCATCTTATGAAGAAGTATTGTCCATCAATTGAATTAAAGTATTTTGGAAATAAAGATGTGTGTTGCCCTTGCTCAGTACTGTACCAATGAACCGTTTGTGTAGAATGTAGTATTGAACTTGGAGGTGAAGAATCCATACAAGGTAAGTGGATAGTCCCAAATGGTTTTGCTTTCATATCTGACATTTCTTCCAGACCTTCAATCCAAAGAGCAAATCATTTTCGCAGTTGCTATTTTGAAGTTGGTATTGTAACTTTCCACTTTCCACATTATGGTCCAACAGGTCTGCTGGTATTTGGTTTGGCAAGACTGACACGACAGGAAGTTCATGTTGTTCAATGTCTCATAATGTAACGTGACAACAGGAATCACTCTACTTCAGTCACCGATCAAGGTCAAGGTGAAGGTTGTCCAGAGTTGATATGTGCCATCTCTCACGATGTGCAGTAAGATTTTTCCTCCAAAAGTGCTTTCAAAAAATTCTTCGTTTACTTTTAAAAAAATAACAATAATTCGATTAGGGTGAAGGTCACTTTGTGATAGCAGAAATGTGCCAGCCACCACGTAGTTCAGTTTCCTGTTTGCTATCCATACAGATTTCTTTATTTATCCTAATTAATTCTGTCCAGCGTGAAGCTTTTGGCTCTTGTGCCTTGCTGTTTGTCGTGGTGTTTGATGTGCCCAAATACAAGCACATTATCATGCTGTTTCTACTCTCTCAGTGTCGCGAACATTTGTGGACATAATGGCCGTCGTGTTTCTCACATCTCCCAGCGATGGAAACTTAGCTGCGTTAATTGTCAAAAGTGCTGTTTCATTGTTGGGTACGAAAAGGGACTATTTTATCTGGTGGATGGTCTTTAAACACTGGCGTTGTGGACAGTCAATATGGCGTATCACTGCTCTGACCTCCCGGTGGCCAGAGTAAATATACAATACCTTGTTGGAAGTTTTTCAACATACTTTCTGCAAGGATGTGCTGTTTTTGTCTTTGAGCTGCAGATTTCTATAAACATATTTGTTGAAGAGACTTACAATCAACTGTTGTCTTTTGTTGAAGATAAAACTCGGTACCAACGTATCTCACTTGATGTATTTATGACAATGATGTACATGTATAATGTTGTTTTGGAAAATCTCTTTCTGATAATGAAAATAGATCAATCTATTTTCCATGATTCAAATCATGCTACAGTTTTTAAATTCATCAGTCTGTGTGCAATATTGAGTTAATTATTTTGAAAAGAAATTTGGAACACTTCTCATCTATGAGACTCCAACAATTCTATCACTGAGTGATACTCTACATTGATCTTAATTTGATAGATTTTAAATGAGTGAGTGAGTGAAGAAACTAAAGTCACAATCAAGACTTATTACTGAGCCTAATGACCTGTAACTGAAAAGTCCCAAACCCATCTTGACTTCATCATCCTTGTCATGCTGCAACAAGACCTGTCATCAGCTGAGCCAATACCAGGGTTTGTAAGGAAGGTTATCCTGAAAACTGAAATTAACAAGTGGAACAAGATCAATGGTGACCTCTCGTTATGCCAGTTCGTTAGTCAGTTGGTCTGGTGAGGTCAGTCAGGACTGGAGGGAATACCAGAGTGGCTGGCTACAAGTCTACTGTTGTCCATTGTTAAACAACTGCTGTCCAAACTCGTATCACATGGGGACACTGGACCCTGTGTCCCGCCATCAGACACACAGACGTGTACCCACAAGGAGGAGGACAAACTTTCAGGAACGATTATGCCACTTGATAATAATAATAATAATAATAATAATAACAACAACCAGCCTGACTGTGCCAGGATCACCCAAACCCTCTTTGCTGCATATTGTATTTTAATAATAAAAATAATAATAATAATAATATCTTAAAAAAGAGAGACGAGAAAAAATAAAAGAAATTAATAAGCGCATTTAAATATTTCTGAGAAATATAGCTCATGATTTAGGTTTTTCAACTTAGTTTTGAGTATAATCTTTTGGCATCTTATAATGTGACAAATATTTTATCAGTGTATTGTGCAAGGTTTTCATGATTAGTACCATGAGGGGAAAGCCGCCACAGTTTATGTGTGATGAAGAAAAAGTCAATCACAGTTCATGTGTGATGAAGGGAACACCAACCACAGTTTATGTGTGGTGAACATTTTAACTGTAGGGCCACCCAGAGCTGTGTTAATTCAGTCAACAGGTGTTTTAACAAACCTAAAAATAAAGTTTTCTTAAATGATAATGAACTGAAACCTATGCCTAAATTTACTGTAAGCACAGTAAAGACGTGCTAAATGTCAGATATAGAGACATTCTGGACACTTTCCAAGTACATAAACTCTTCACACTAGATAAAATTGTAGTATTTGTCAATATGTCATGTCAAAATTGTAATTATCTTAAGGCCAAACCAAATTGATGTTTTCTGAGTCTACCCTACTCCTTCTTTTCCAGAGTGTAAAAGCTCTTCTTGAAATTGTTAAATATTGAAGTAATACATTAGATTTACACAACACGACAATAAAATATATTTTTTAAAGTTTGAGAATCAATTTTAGTTACACTTAATCTCAACTGATTTTCTGTTTGTTTAAGCTTTGGGGAAGAAAATTGTTTGGCAATGCGTAATTATGAAACCTGTACCCAATCAACTTGAGTTTGAGTTCACAGATTGTAATTGCCATCCATATCCGAAGATATTTTGTGACTTATCACTCCAAACTGTAATCCTTCCATGATATAACATATTGGTGACAGTCAAAAGAGTATGACTCGGCCAAAGCCTGGTGCATCTATAGGGGTATGAGCCTTCTCCCGTTGCAGACAACATACCTCCATTTCTAGAGAGTATCAAGTTTATGGTATAAAAACTGTCAATGGCAATGATATAGAAGATTAATGCCAGTAGAAATAACCACATTAGTATTTGATGTCCTCATATTCCAGTAATAGGGAAATAGAACATTCTATTGAATATCAGGGTGTGGATGTAACTTCTTGTCTATTATTATTGGGGGCACGGGTGGCCCAGTTGCCTAAGGAGCCGCGATTCGCTGTGCTGAGTTGCGTCCCTTCGGACACGCCAGAAACCTATGATTGTGGGTTCGTATCCCGATTCACCCCGATTATGTTTCTAGGTTTGTCAGCACCATACCCATGCTCGTGGGTTTCACCGAAGTGGTAAACATCTGAGACCTGCATCACTTTGGGCTTTCCTCCCACATTAAGCTGACACGCCATGATATAACTGTAATACTGTTAAAAGCGGCGTTAAACCCAACTCACTCACTCACTCTTGTCTATTATTAAGTCGATTGTCATGCTGGCTTCATAGTGTTCAAGTCCAAATATGGTGCCTGTGTTTTATCATACAGCCTCCGTGGTATAGTGGAATGAGCATGTGCCTGAAAAGTGGTGCTTGTTGTTACCCTGCCTGGCACTCATCATAAAGGGAATAAGACAAGGACTGGTCAGCTCAGAGTCAGTATGTCAGAGTCTGAGCAGGTTGTTCATGTTAAACTGTGGCATTGTATCTCAGTGGGCTAGGACAAAAAAACAGAATTAGTCTGGACTAGTACAAGCAGCCACACACACGTACACCTAATGCATGCGCATTGCTATATAAGTGTAAAACTCCTCAACGCAACATTAAACCCCATTTCACCTCACATCACATCACATAGAGCAATTTATGTGGGACAGGTGCTCTATCACCTAATCACCACAGCACCTTTTCCCCTTACTTTCTCAACAGAGTTATGTCCCCTTCCCTGTCTTGCCAACAACATACCATCGCACTACAGCAACATGTTATTAGCCCCAATATCACAAATGTAAACAAATGAAAATGTCAGATGTCATTGTAATGGAATTAATGAGTGGTAATAACTCTTGACATGTTTTAAAGATTTGTTATATTGGTAAATTTCTATAGCGCTGACCAACAAAATAGTCTTGTCAATGAGTAGCCATGTTCTTTTTCTTGTAGTCAAGACTTGTTTGAACTGCGTAAACCTTTATATCATAATAACACATGTACAAAACTGTAGTATTCATTTCCTAGAGAATGGGATGACATTGAACACAAAGAGCTCACTGAAGCGTGTCGGTTTATGAGTGATCGACTTGCTGAAAATAAGAAGTTGGAAAAGGGGTCATGGTAGATTTATTTCTTCGAACGTCACACTTTTTCATCGCTGGCATATTTCTATTTAATGGCAGCCATGTTTTTTATTGAATGTGTTATGAAGGTGGGAGTGAGACGGTGCAGGTTGATTTAGTACAGTAGGGCCAGAGACCAACTTGGTTCACCATGTATGACAGCGGATAGAAAAACTTGGTGCATAGGTCACAGCAGGGGAATGATTTGTGCTGTCATTTTTCATTGTCACTACAAATTTTCCTAAAAAACTGCAGTAGTATTTACGCTACAACTATCAAAACAATACATGTAAACAATGAGTTATTATGAGTACAT